ATGTCACTTTAACAATTAATTTATTAATTAAATAATGATAGTTCTTGTTAAAAATGACTTTGGTTTTAACCTTAAAAAGCTGTTTCTTTGAGTTGCTATTTATTAAAATTGTGTTTTTCACAAACATTTTTGTTATTTAACTTGCGTAACCTCATTTGTCAAAGTGACATCATTGACAAACTAATAAAACCGCCAATGTGATAGGACTTAAAAAGCAGAAAAAAAGTCGAAAAGCAAGAGAAAAATGAACTTTTCTTCCTACTGAGTTAGAATAATAAAGTTTTAATTACAGATTTGCTGGTTTTAGATAAAGCAAAAAATGTTTTTCCTTTACAGTTCTGGCGTAAAATCAAAGATAATTTTTTTCCCTCCTGTAAACTCAATCCGGGAACATACTGCATAAATTGTTTGATCCCATATATTAAAAAAAAAATTGTTGATTTTCTCGGTTTGCCTACCAAAAAAGTCTCCATTACATATATATAAATACAAGGCAAACAAAAAGTACGAAATCAAGCGCTTTTTTTTTTAATCATTTACCCTCAGACAATAAAAATTAATAAAAATAAAAGTGATAAAAAAATATGCTCGTCTTTTGAAAATGAAATTTTGTTCAGTTTTTGAGTTAGTGCATTTTTTTTCTCTATGGCAACTTAGATGAAAATTTTTTTCGATAAAAAGTGAATTAAATGTAGATAGCTATTATCCTTAGACCATCAGCATTTGTAAAAACAGGTTTCAGAGTGAATTGCTATTTTAAAAAGTTAAACATTTTGCAGAATTTAAAAAAATCGAAAAATTATATTCTCGATAAAACGTCACATTTTTCTAGTACCTTATCATATCAATCACTTAGTTTTAAAAAAAAATAGATTAAACAAAAAACGGTTGATGCCATACTTTTTCTTCACCTAGAAAGAACATTTTTTATTTTCGAGATCCAAAGTGCCTTTATTAATTAAGTAAAAACCCTAATTTTTTGTCCATAATTTCTGCAGAAGGCGTCATAACAAAAGATATTAATAAATTATTGAGGCAATAGAACACTTTGACTTTTAATAGTTATTTATTCTATAGTTATTTATTGTACGTGGATGAAATCCACTCGGAGAAATAATACACTCAAAAGAGTTGAATACAAAATTTGATTCTTTGAATTAGACTCAACAAGGCTTCAAATTGCTTTAAATTTCTGTTAAAAATAATTTGACGTTTCGTATTGAGAAATGCCAAACAGTTGTCAAAACTTCCTTACACGGAGAAAAAAAAATTGACAGTATCGAAGAACAAAAACTTTTTACTCCTTAACTCCAATAAATGAAGAAAAAAAAACAAAACTTTATGTATTCCTAAAAATTTATTTAACCAAACAATCCGGGAAAATATAATAACGATGATACAACAAACATTCATACAAATTTTGAAATGAGACATTGAATTTTTGTTTTAATAAATAATTTGCTTTGGATACAAAACTCTTTCTCCAGTTACATCATCTTTTTCATACTTAGTACACAATTTTCTCACTCATATTTTTGTTTTTACATTTATATTAGAAACCTACCTATAATAAAAAAATAAATAAAACATCATTATTGATGATGATGAATTTATTTAAATTAAATTTTTATTAATTAATTTTAAATTAATTTTTTTTTTTAATAATTTTCTCTGCAAACGAAAATTTCATGTTTATTTATTTCTATTTATTATAAGAAAAATTTTTGATTTGTGTTTTTTTATTAATTGTAATTAGCTTCCTCGTATGCGTATTTTTCCACATTAACAAATCGGCCGATTGACCTGTCGGTTATTATGTTATTTGAGAGAATGCAGAACACGCAGGAAGAGTGTGGGTACAGTGGCGATGGCGAGGGCCGCTCGAAGGCCGCTGCTTCGCCCACTGACCATAAACAGCAGCAGCAGCAGCACTAGGAGAACGGGTTGTTGACCGTTGTTTCAGCTTTCAGAAAACCGCAATTGCAACGAAGGAATCGCTTTTGACCTAAGTCAAAGCGGGAGCGGCGCCAAAACGCCTCCACAATTGCGTAATGAAAATACCGAGGAATAAAATTGTCGTTGCTGTTGCTATTTCGAGGATACATATTGATTCTCCGGTGAGAGATCCCGAGGGATCGACTTTAAAACTACTACCATCTAATATCATTTTTGGGGAGAAGAGGAAAATAAATGAACTCGGTTTGTTCAAGGACGATGCAAAAAGATTGATTTTTATCAGAGACAAGGTCGTGGCAAATGATTGGAAGAGTAATAACAAACAAACTATAAAAACAGATGAATGAGATAACGGCCGAAATGCTCGTTTTTGTCTTGTCGAGGATTGGGGACGAAATTCGTTGTTTATTTATTTCTTCGAGTTTCAAAACTATAAACTTATCCGCAACATCACCATCTACTTAATGTTATCTGCAGTTGAGGGAATAATGTTCACAGATTATAGAGAGAAGTTGCTTGGATTGTAATTCACACTGAAATGGGACAATTATGTTGGGTTTACCGTTGTGACGAGCGGTTTAACGTGTTAGAAAATTGCAGCGAGGTAGCAATTTTCAAGTTTACCAAACAGAATTTAGCAATGCCTTCGAAACAAATCAACTGCTAAAAATACAACGAAACATTGTAACAAAATGAAAATGTACACTTTTTAAGTCACGGAGTTTATTATGTTTCTCACATTTGAACATTTTTGCTATTCCTCAACCTTAACAGAAAAATTATAATGTGGCCATTTCTATTCGGAGCAAAAACTTCCACGCCACATTTATGTCCATGACCATGTTCCATTATATTTTAATGGTCTACTTGAAGATCGTAATCGCAAATTATTAATCAATACGACATTTTATTTCATGTAAACAAAAAATATGTATCGAGATAACCTGAAACTTAGTGCTTCGCTATTCGGTACGAATTTTTTTTCCCAAATAAACAAACCTCCAATGAAATTTATTGTGTAAAGTATCGTAAATCGATAGACTTGGGCTTGATTGTTTAGTGTGTGGTAAAATATGAAGACACTTTTCTCTCATCAGTTTATTTCAAAGTAAATTTATTTTAAATCAATATTTATTATTTAAAATCCTTGAATTGATGTGAAACACATTTTACTTTATGATTTTTAAGCGTTGCTTTCAAGGAAGTGAAAAAATTTAATATCCAGGCTTTTTACGCCAAGATTTTTATGTAATATGAACGACATTTCATAAAAATTCTTAAATGTACGCGACGACGAAAAAAAGAAAAAAATTCAACATCAGTTGACACATTTATCAATTTTCTTCTTTCATTGTTTAGTAATGTTTTAAACGATTTTCTATGTAAAATTTAATACAATGCTTAATTTTGAAAGTGAAAGTGATTGATGGATTAATTCTCATTTGTGCAACAAATAAGGAGATTAAGGTCGAGAGTATTCAAATCTATAACATTATAACAGCAATTTTTTATTGAGTTTGCATACAAAATATTTTTTCTATTAATAAAATAAAAATCACTACTGACTACACTTTTTTGAGAATTTTTTATCTGTAAAAATGTACAGTTTTATACAGTGGAACCTCGTTACGCCGAAATACTTATTGCCCAAAAAATTGTTTTTTTTTCTACTCGTATATTGTTTTATTAGAAAATTATAAAATGTGTACAAAAATTAACTTCTTATGGCATAAAATATATAAATAAACGTAAATTCCTAAAGTACAAAAAAAATAAGATTTCATGTGTGTGTAGATATAGATTTTATTCATTTCTCTTGAGGTAACAGAAAAAAGTCTTTCATTGAAGATTGTCTGATGCATTTTTCCTTTTTTTTTTTGACAAAGCTCTCACAGGCCTTGAATTTTGTGTAAACAGTAGAAATTAATCCAATGAGCATTACGTAAAATTGCAGGAATTTGAGAGGAACCGAAAATCTGTTCTACTTCAAGAGGAATTCGACTTGAAGAGGTTCGATTTATCGAGATTCCACTGTATTTTACTGGCATTCTACGTAATAATGCAATTTTTGAAACGTTCATAAAAATAATAATCAAAATGTTCCATTTTGAAACAATTTGGTTGTAATTTTTTACATCTATGAATAAGTGTATTAATGCAATCTATTGTTATAGCACTCTTTACATTTTTTATGTTTGCCTTATTCCATGTTTTGCAATTACGGTTTCAACACTGCATGCTCGTCGAAACGGTAATAAAAACTTTCCGCCAACCCAACCTCAACTCGAGTTTAATTCTCATTTTTCTCTGGTAAAAAATTCTTCCACCTCCGCAATATCGTTGGTCAAGTTCATTCTAAATTTTTATCTGCTATAAATTCCAAAGACCCGACCCAAAATCTGAACATCGTCGATAAATTGCCAAGTTGTATTGGCTCGTAGTTTCTGTACAAAAAGCTGAAATTGTTCGATAAACATGAACTAATTTACTTCAAACAATACCTAATTCAAGTCATTTACATTAATTATAAAACAAACTTTGAATAATTGGATGGTGAAGCTTCGGAAACTCTGACAAATTTAATAAACAAGCTGTAAACGAAATTTGATTGCTTTCGCGGACAATGTAGCCCCACCATGCCCATGATGGGTCGTTCTGCTGCGTCAACGTGTAATTGTAAATTGATGATTATTTGCAACGGGACATCAGCAATTTATCAAGGTTTTTGCTCCTTGGTGTTAGAAAATGCAGCAATTTTTCAAGCAATGAATAAGTGACGAGACTGTCTATTTATACGAGAGTTAATTCCAATTAACGCTGGTCGTTGTCCCTTGCATGCCTCAAAGCCCGTATAATTCATTGTGTTATTCCCATCCAACACATGTCACCCACAGGGTGAAGAACAACCAGGCAAAAACCGGGCCAGGTAAAAATCCCAGTCTGAAATGCATCAGGTATTTTACTCAAAACCCCGGCAAAAAATCCAATAAACCGCCCGCAATTCGCACGAGTGTTGGCCTGAAAAAAATTCAAGGGGGCTTTACCATCTTTCATGCTCCTAGGCTGCGTGGCTGAGGGTCCGCTACTGTGACTTTTGTCAACCGTACAATACATAATCACACACTTTAACACTACAACATAAGTCACTCTCACCGAACTAAAATTATCATAATTAGAAGTTTATTAATTAGTTTTACGCGAACTTATTTACACACGAAGAACACTGCCAAAACCCCGCGGCCATTACTGGATTTCGCTTGTTTTGGCCGCCTCCAGATGGCGTCCACGGAGCTGACCTTGACGATTTTTGGGCAATTTCCCCAATAATTTTCGTTTGTTCTCTTATCACAACACTGGGAATTTTGAAATTGTGTTATCAGACGGGTTTTTGATCGGTCACGGGAATTTTATTTGTCAATTATTCAAAAGTGATTTGGGGGAACTCCAAGTGTGACAATTGGCACGCTTGCTGAAACGTCAAATGTCAGATGATTTGAATATGTGTCAACGTGTCTCAAATCAAGCAAAAGTAATGATTTTTTTAAACTAATCAGCCATGTCACGCAATAATCTGCGTGGGGGGCTCAACCCCGAACCAGACACCCCTAAGATCAGTATCCTTTGCCTCGATATCACTCATTTTTCCCAACCTATCCAATTTTTTATTTGTAGTGGGGCTGTTTTCGTGTTTTTCATCCTGTATGGGTACATGCAAGAGCTGATTTTTACAATCGACGGCTTCCAGCCTTTTGGCTGGTACCTCACGTTAGTGCAATTCGGTTTTTACAGCGTCTTCGGTCTAGTTGAGACTCGAATTAGAAACATAACCTCTCGGTCGTAAGTGGCTCAATTTTCAAGGCCCAAAAACCCCGATTTTTTCCAGAATTCCGCTCCAGACATACTTCTTGCTCGCACTTCTGACTTTGGGCACCATGGGCTTCTCCAACGCCTCTCTAGGGTACTTAAATTACCCAACTCAAGTGATTTTCAAATGTTGTAAACTGATTCCGGTCCTAGTCGGAAGTATTTTGATTCAGGGAAAACGGTACGGGCCTTTGGATTTTAGTGCAGCTGTTTTGATGTGTGTGGGACTAACATTATTCACCTTGGGTGTGTATGGTCTAGACTAATTTAGCCCCCTCAAGCCCCCTTTAAGCAAATCAAACTTGGATTTAATTTCAGCCGATTCACATGTACAGCCTAATTTTAACACTAAAGGCATCTTCATGATCTCAATGGCCTTGCTGTGTGATGCCATCATTGGGAATGTGCAAGAAAAATCAATGAAAAATTACGGGGCCCCCAATTCAGAAGTCGTTTTGTTCTCCTATTCAATTGGGTTTTTGTACCTGTTTATTGTGATGGTGGCCACTGGAGACTTCACCGATGGCTTACAATTTTTCGCTACTGTAACCAATTTTTGATTGAATTATTTTAACATTACAGGGTTGTTTCAGAATCCTAAAAAATTGTACGGATATGCTTTAATTTTTTCACTAACTGGGTATCTGGGGATTCAGATTGTTCTCACTCTAGTCAGGACTTGTGGGGCTTTTGCTGCAGTCACTGTTACAACTTGCAGGAAAGCAGTCACTATCATAATATCATTTGTGTTTTTCAGCAAACCTTTTACGTTTCAGTAAGTCGCAAAAGTGGTTTGAATTGACAGTAATTTTTACGTTTCAGGTATTTATGGTCTGGTTTAGTGGTAGTTTTAGGTATTTATTTAAATTTATTTAGTAAGAAGCATCCAATGTCGATGCAGGACTTGGAGGTTTTTATAGAGAGATGTATCAGGGCGATCAAATTAAAAATTTATTCCAAACGTCAAGGACAACGCCACTATACGGCAAACGTTTAATTTTGTAGATTTAAGCAATCATTTTTTGCCATATTTTATATTTTCTGTTACGTAATAGAATGTGTTCTTTTTTGGTTTGTTTTAAGACTGGACCCCTCCTAGTCACTCCCGCTAGATGGCGCTGAAACCAAAATGAGTAGCACAATGTTTTATTCATACTGTATATGTACAAAATTTAATATGATTGTTCCTATATAAAAATCAATAACATATGGCTTTTCTTAAGAACAGATAAAACTTGACTGGATCAAATCTGACTGTATAACCATTTGAAACATAAATAATTATACTAATACACTCACGATCACTATCATGACTATTTTTCCTCATAAAACAAAGACGAATAAAAAATATACTTAAAACAAAAAATAAAAGCAATACATTTAAGACGTGATTAACACTTATATAACTCTAAAAATAAGTTTCTCAATAATTTAGAATGAATTTTGTACATTGTTTATTGCACAAAACCAAATAAAAGAGCTCCAAGTTCGGTTGGAAATGCCACGTGTGGTCTCCGTCAAAAATAGAGAGCTCCTTATCCACCACATGTTATATTTCGAACCGAAAAAGACGCCATTGACAACCACACATACAATACACTGAAGAAAGGAAGCAAAGTATTGGTCCACGTCCAATATTTTGAGTAAAAAGACGTACAAAAAGTCGTATAAAAGTTAAATTCTCGAATAGGTCACTTGAATTTTGCCTTTTTGTACTGCGTCATATCGTACGTGGCTCCTGCACTCCAAATAAAACCAGTCTTAGTTTTGAATTTTTGAAGAAATGTGCGGCAAGCAAACGGGCGAGTGGAAAAACCAAACACAAAATGAGATCTAGTCGTGTTGCTTATACGTATTGATCCACAAATTAAGTACAAAGAAACTCTAGTCTGGCACTTCCCTGTAGGGTACTTCTGACGTCACATTGAACCCTTCGAAATAGTGAGTCAAGAAATCAAAAGTGGGCCTATTTTCGGGCTTTGCGTCCCAGCATTGTAACATAATCGAGTAGATTTCATCCGGGAGGGCATGCGACGTGGGTTTGCCCATTCGGTACCCCTTTTCGACCATATCTATGACCTCTCGGCCGTGCATTCCGGGGTATGGGACCTGTCCATACGTGAACAGTTCCATCAAGAAAATTCCATACGACCAAACGTCCGATTTTATGGAGAATTTCCCGTAAACTATGGCCTCCGGTGCCGTCCACTTGACGGGGAACCTGGACCCTTGCTTGGGACAATACTCGTTATCTTCTATCACTCTCGCAAGTCCGAAATCGCAAATTTTCGCAATGTTATTTTCACCAATTAGAACGTTCCTCGCGGCCAAATCCCGATGGATGAGTTGTTTGGACTCGAGGTACTCCATCCCGCTGGCCACTTGGAACGCTATGTACACCAAATCCTCGAATTCCAACTCTCTGCCTTCGTCCTTTCGGAGAAAATCGAGGAGGCTGCCCTTCGACATGTACTCCTGGACGATGTAAATCGGCTCGTGTTCGCTGCAAACCCCGAACAGGGTTACCAACCGTTTGTGACGGAATTTTTTCATGATTGCTGCTTCTTGCAAGAAGGCCTGAGTGGACATTGTGCCTTCTCGCAGCATTTTAACGGCGACTTCGATGTTGTTCTTCCATTTTCCGTACCAGACTTCACCGAAGTTGCCGCGGCCGAGACGCTGGATGAGTTGGATTTCCTCGCGTGGGATCTCCCACTTGTCCCGGTATGTGGGCCCCAAGTCCCACATCGTGGGCTGGGGCTTGGGACAGGGCTTCGACAAGACGTGGCAAAGGCCATAAGCGTTTTCTAGAAGGAAAAATGATCATTTGTAAGAACACAAACAACGACTTACTGGTGTAAGCATTGACTAATTCGACTAAAGTGAGGAATGTTTTGTTGGTGGAAATGTAAAAACCGCCGTTATCTAGTGGCTTGATTTTGTAGTGTTTCACGTGGTATTCCCGGATCTCCTCCCAGTCTTTCACTGAGAGCGAATACCCATTGGGATTATGCTCAGAAGGACGGACTAGGAAAGTTCCTCGTGGATTTTCCTCGGCTAGAAGAAGCTTTTCGGCTTCCTTTCGCGATACGTTTTCAAAAAACCAGCTGGAAAAAAAACAAAGGATGTTAATTTCCCGTTGAGATAACAAAAAAATGATACTAACTCTTCGCTTTCGACACTCAATTCGGCCGCTACGAAATTCCCCGGGATGTATCCCTGGACTTTGGTTATGAGATGTATCACATTCAGCCAATCGCCTTCGGAGTCGTCGATGACTTCCATGCGATCGCCTTTTTTAAACGAGACATCACTGCTGTCTCGGGCCTCGTAGTTGTAAAGAGCCACGACGATGCGGCCCTTTACTGAAAGAGGGGGCCGTGTGGGGGTCGGCCGGCTCCTTATGATGTCCACGTGACTGCGCTGAGGGTCCGGTGTGTAGGGATTGTTGATTGTCAGTCGAGGTGGACCACCTGGAATTTTCATGTGTAATTTTAGAGGGCGCCAAAATCATCATTTTCCTGGTCAATACTCTTTTTGGGAATTATTGATTCTAAAAACGTAGATAAGCAATTCAAACAGTGAGGTTTTGGATTGAATTTTGATGAAAATTAAAAGCTTCCAAATGTTTATCTAAACACAGAGCATCCTTGTTTATTCTCTCTGCTTGTATACAATCGTTTCAAGCTTTAAAGCTTCCCGTAAACATTTCTATTAAACAGTCAGAAACGTGACCGGCCATTAACGACCTGCTACTAATTGCGCCACTTTACATAAGTAGCAACACTAACGTCCGCTATTACATTTGTTGCACATTTCACTTCTTAATTGTATTAGCAACAATCTCTTCTTTGTATCTTCGGCCAGAATACCGCATGCTTCGCTTGTATTCTCCTTGTTAGATAAAGAAGAAACAAGAACACCTACAAATCCTGTATATTTTTTCACTGTACTGTAATTCTGTTAATAACAGTTTTGGAGTCAGTGTCGTATCAAACAACTGGCTGTTTCTTAACCCCGATAAATAAAAATTTATCCATCAAAATTAATGTAAAGTTTATTATTGATTATTATTTAAAAAAACAAAAAACAAAAGAATGTGTGACGTCCCAAATTGCATATACGGCCACTCAAAAAGTGGCGCACTAACTCAGAGGTACAGTCTTGAGAAGCATATGCATGCAGATACAAAAAAAATCTCGAAAAAAGTCTTGAGGTCTTATCTACAAAATCTGAAACTGTTTTATTGTTTTGCTTCATTAATTTTTCTCTTGACATGTACAGCTACATTCAAAAAAACGGGAAATGTCAAAAAAAAAATATTTTTTATTTTTTCAATTTTTCCATGGTGTGAACGTGTTTTATTAAAAAAATTGGTTAAAATATTTTGATGGCACTCTAAATTCTGCCGCTAATAATAATTATAATAATAATTTTCCTACCATTTTCCAGGTGAGCGACGAATTCTGGCTTTGTCTACTTCACGTAAATGCGGCATTACACAAGTTGGTATAAAATTGCCATTGATAGAAATATTTTTGATAGGTATTGTCAAGTTGACTATTGACAACTAGAACCGAATTTACATTTGTAAAAATTTAATTTCCCGTTTTTTTTTAAATTAGCTGTAACTATTTTCTATCACTTTTTGAGCGACAAAAAGTCAAAAACTGAATTAAATACCTTAGAAATTCTCAAACTATGAAGAATAATTAAAAACCTAATTAAAAAAAAATGGTTTTGAAGTTCAGAAACATTTCAAAATTCTCTATCTTCTTTTAAATCTGGACATATTACAAATTATTATAAAAAAAGTCAAAAGACTTGAACTCGTCGAGAATTTAGTTCAAAACAAGTTCGTCGATAAAAAAAAGAAAAAAAAACGTGGTTTGGGTGCATTAAATTAAGACAAGTGTAAACAATAAAGAAAAAATTCAGCCGTTATTATACAGGGCGCCCAAAAAGTGGAACACCAACTCAGTGGCACGTTGTTAAGAAGCATAAAAAAAACTTGAAAATATTCATTAAGTCATAGACACTTTCAAAATCTGAAGCTACACACTTATTTTGTTAAGTTTTAAAGTTTATTTTCAAGAATCTCTGGTTTTAAATCGCTTAAATAATTTTAAATTTAAATAATAATCGTTTAAATAATACTGCTACTTTCAGTATCTGGTCGTATTTGAATTTTTTTTTAAATTATTTATTCAGGAGATATGACAACACGGTATATTAATTTTAGCTATCATTATGGTAACAATGTTTCTTTCCTAGGAAACTGTTACTAAGGTTTCAAGAGTAACTAATTTTACTGTTGAGTTGTAACGCCATTAGACAACGTTTTCACGTCCAAATTTTTTTGAATACGTTTTTTTTCCTATCAATAATTTTTTTATTATGTAAACATTTTTTACCACTTTTCATTGAGTTAGTTCGCCATTTTTTGACCTTGTATATCAGAAATTTTAAATTTACTTTTTAGGTACTTCCACCTCAAATATACAGGTTGTGTCTGAACTCGCGCCCCAGAGAAAAATTTCAAGTAAGATTAAGGAACATGGAAAAAATATTTAAAAAATTCTATCTGTCAAAAAAATTTTACATTTATTTTTTAGCATTAGAAATTTTTTGATCTCTATTTAATGATACTGATTATCTCATATATCGTAATTTTTTTTTAATTATTTGGTAAGGTACAAAAATTTTGCCAATAAAAGCCACAAATAACATTAAAGAGAGTTATAATTATTTTGGATACGGCTTCCTTGTTTCCTCTTCTAAAAATGTGTAGCTCAAAAACTTGGAAAATTATTTTTCCAACAGAAATAAGAAATAGAGTCAAAGTGCAAAATTTAAACTTCGAGATTTTTATAGGTAGAATTTTTTTAACATTTTTTCTGCTAACTTACATTACATTTTTTTCTGGGGCGCGAGTTCTGGCTTCTGGCGCACCCTATATACACTATCTGCACTAAATAGTAATTTGCATACTGCAATGTGACTTATTAATACTTAAAAACTAGAATGTTGCCTTTTTATTTCATTCTAGAAAAAAAAAATTCTTTACTCTTACTAATTAAAAAAAAAATCACCGACTAACTCTGTGTTGTTTATTCATTTTAAAATCTTTTGCTGATTAACAGATAACTTGATTTCTGTTATATTATTAAGATAATGTGTGAAAAAACTAGCAATAAACAAGATAATTAATACGCATCAGTAGATATTTTTTATTTGCAAACTTAAATACTAACAAAATACTTTTAATTCTAATCAGATTAAAAATAATCTCATTCCTAACAAATAGTCTTATAAATTAGAATTTAGGGGACACTGTCAGAAACAGCTACTTTAAAAAAAAAAAAAACAAGAAATAAATTTCAAGAAACCGTTTCAAATTCTCAACAACAAATAATAATTTAACACTTTGTGGGCTAATATTTATGTCCATTATAGATTTTTTTGGATATCAAAAAATAAGCTGCTTCCTATTTTATAAAAAAAATCAATAAATTGATAATAATCAACATGAAGTGGCTATTTTTTATTTACGAGTCCATAAACAAACACTTAAGGTGGGCATCAACTTTATTCATTAGAATTTTGAAAACGCTGTCAGAAACAGCTACATTGGGAAAAAGCAGGAAACAAATCTAATAATTTAAATAAATATTTTTTGCATTTTTCGTACCGTCCAATCCATGTGCTGTTTTGATTCCGCCCGGATAGACGAGTCTGTCAGGCTGCGAGCGTCGGCTGCCGCAACAGCAGCAGTTATTGCCCATGGCGGTGTCGGCGGCGGCCGAAACCAAGAGGTCAGCACAGGGTATCCAGCAGCCGGTTCATCCTGCAACAAACAGACACCCACTACAACTCGCGGTCAAAGTTCCCATCAATAAAATTTTCTTCACCCAAAAACCAAAAAATTCCCCTCAACTACACTTGCAAGACTTGACCCGAATATACAACGAAAGATTAATAATATAAATTAAGGCCGCCGTAATGAGACAATAGATACCGTCATACCGCCTTTGTTTGAATAAATATTTTTTTAACGACTTTCATCATCCAATGACACATTCTTTGTAGACGAAAAAATCTAATCTAGTTCCAGTATAATCCCCTCATTAAAACCTTGTCACAAATACGCATTTATCATCTCTAATTTCTCGAACGAAAAAATCATACGGGTCTTTTTTCACGTAGAACTTATATTGCAGCTCGCCGATATCATTCTATTGCCTATCTCGTAAACTGGTTATTTGAAATACAGTTAGTCGAGAAGTCCGGGCAATTAAAACTAAATCTACGCGTTGAAAACGCATTCCTGCTGTGGCGGTGTTCCGTTTTTGCAACCTCCACACGAAAAAAACGATCGGAGAGATACTCGCCGGAACAGATCGGGATAACACTTGCATTTCAGGTGGTTTCGTGTTTTAAATTTAGAGTTGCTTAGCTTGGCATGAGGCAAGCTAAACTTGGAGGCAATGGGATGATCAGGTGTGGAGTAGTACTTAGAGATGATGAAATTGCATTTTATTTTTAACGTTGACGCTGTTTGATTAAAAGAACGAAAGTTGTGATAAAAGGTGGAATAAATTTTAACAAAAATGTAATTTTATGTATTGATAAAGTTTAGTGCTTTTTTCCGGTATTATAAATTTCCATTGAACAAAATTTGGGATTTACTACATCCTGATTCTTTGTGATATACTTCAAGATTTGCAAAAGGATTTTTTAATTACAGTGTTTTCCTCTTTTGTCAAATGTATTTCACTATTTCTCAAAACTATTTCTCACCTACGTCGCTTTGACATTAATATACCAAATGAAATAGTTTTGAGGAATAGTGAACTACATTTTACAAAAGAAGAAAACCAAAAGAAAAACACTGTAATTTTACATTTCCACTCTTTTAATTTTCCGTGAAAATAAAAATTAAAAATGTAGTGTTAAACTTCTCACTTTTTTCTGGGTTGATAAAATTCAGTTGGACATATCCTGACTTTTTCTGATACTTTATCATTGGCCTCGAAACTTCGCTCTTTTTTATTATTTCACCAAAACAATTTTTAATAAGTGTTTACTATAAAAAAAAATTCATTTTATTTGGGTGCTAAACTCGAAAAAAACAGTATAGTAAAAACACCCACAAAATACAACCTTAAAATATGAAAAACAAAAGCCAAAGGAAAGAAATGTAGAAAGTCAAAGAAAACGTCACCACAGACACAGTTTAAAAGCTGAACTTAACAGAAAAACTAAAAAGAATATTCTATTCATACCCTCTTTATGTATTTTTAACGCTCATGTAAAAGTTAAAAACAAAATTTTGTATAAAAAAATATAGAAATAGGCAGTGATTTTGATTCATAGATGACATACAGGGTGTGTTAGAACTTGCGCCCCAGAGAAAAATTTCAAGTAAGATAAAAAACCACGAACATGGAAAAATGTTGACAGTGACATTTATTTTTTGACATTTTTTATATCTATTTAAAATGATACTGATGATTTCGTATAAGTTGTTTTATATTTATTTAGTAAAGGTACAAAAATTTTGACAATAAAAGCCACAAATAACATTAAAGAGAGTTAAAATTTAGATACAGCTTCCTTGTTTCCTCTTCTAATAGTCCGTAGCAAAAAAACTTGGAAAATTATTTTTCCAACAGAAATAAATACTCAAAGTGTAAAATTTAAACTCTCGTAACTTTTAAATTCTTATATTTTAATATTTTTGTTAACATTTTTTCCATATTCTTGCTATCTTACCTTACATGGTATTTTTCTCTGGGGCGCGAGTTCTGGCGCACTCTGTATATTTACTATGTTTTCCGCTATTTTCTTTCAAATCAGAGCCAAAAAAGAATTAGTTATAAACATTTCAAAATATAAAATTCGCAGTCCTGTGAATTCACGATATTTTTGTGAACATTTGGAGGAAAAACTTAATTTTAATTTACCACTGGAAATAAGAATTAAAAATTATTAATTATTTATGAAGAGATGTTAGGGGAAAACTTTTTAAAAAGTTCTCATTTTTTAATAAGGCATTAATCTGGCGTTATAAAGTGAAAACGCAGTATTTCAGCTCTCGGTTAAAGAATGAAGAGAAAAAGAAAACACTTTCATAATATATTTTATTATTTCCCATAACTCGAGATTATGAACAAATAATTACTCGTAATAAGAAAATTACTCTATAATTTAATATTTATTCAATAAACAATAAACAATCTCTAGGTGTTTATAACTTTAACAACTGGAGCTAATTTTCGATAATTTTAAATTATAAAATTCATCAGTTTGGACTTTCAATTCTAATTCCAAACTTTGATTGTGAAATCAATTCCCCGAATTTTGAATTGTCGCTGATAAAACCCAACAATAGCTAACGATAAATTATTCCAACTTTGCAAATAATAAATAAAATTCAGTGACATTTTCAAAACCAAAAAACGTCGTAACTAAATCAGCGACCCACATCAGTACAAAATGTCTATAATTAAACAGTTTGTTAATTAGAATTTTTGCGAAAACATATTCGTGTAGCAACAATTTCCGCTTCTATTTCTAATTGCTCGTCTAATAATTTTAATAATTGTCGCATATTATAATTTTCAATTTTGCAAGCGCACGTCCTTGTTACTCGTTCCGGTCACTTTTGATTAATACCGCAATTATTCTGTCACAAAATGATTGAATTTTGTCATTTCGAGGAAGAGACTTGCCGTTAAAACACCTAGAACGATAATTGCAGTAATCCGATCAAATTATACATATCGAATGCAACGATGGGAAACTGCAATTATTATTACCACTAGTATAATTGCTAAAGTGCCTCAACAACGCCAGCTCTTCAAAGGTTTATTGTTTCACGAAATACAAAGCCTATTCAATTATCAACAGTGTTACGGTTAGGTTGAAGACCACCGGACACAAACAATAACAAAGGATGAAACCGAGGAAAATTTGATGACCCGGATGAACTCCTTTTATTGCCATTAGAAATGATAATAACAACAAAGAAGAGCATATGAATGTATAATTATTGACGTGGTTATGCCGAGCCCAAATCGGAATTTGTCATCGAGAGAAATTGCATGAAATCATGGGAGGAAAGTGCGTCATTTCCATACTGGCGTCTAATGATCGAGTTATTTTCGCATTTCGCTGAAAATGTGATTATTCAAATCCTCTTATCGTTCACAAAAACATTAAACAAAATTGTTAAACAACTGCTTCATGGGTCACAATAATCAATAATTATGCACAATTCTACAGTTCATACATTTAAAATAATTAATAGTCTATCATTTTCTGTCCTTGTTTGCCTAATGAAATTTGACATCAATGCATCCTTATCTAACAGGCGACTACATCACATTGTCTAAAATCTTCACTTTTTCCCTCTTTTAGTCGTAAGAGGGTGTATTTTTTTGGGTACTGAATGCCAATTTAAAACTTGTCTTAATTTGTATTACATGTAAGTATTTTGAAAAAATCGTCCTTGAAATTCTGAAAGTGGCTTTTTTATCTGTTTTCTAGGAGTTTTTATCGGTATTACTTTTTCAACTACAATATTACAAAGATACGAGTATTAAACTAAAAATCAATTTTAATAAATAAAAAACTATTTTTTACACGTATATGAAATATTGAAGAAACTGCAAGTATAAGGTGTTTTCTTAATGCGAAAAATTGCAACCACATATTCTACATCGAAAAATAACACAAATAAAATATTTAAAAATGTAAGTAGGTAGTAGTAAGAGTAAAAATAAAGTGATTGCCGAAAACTAAGCTCTTTCAATGGCTCATAATTCATAAAGCCTGAAAAATTTTATGAAAGTAACTCAAGTGGTTTCGGAGAAAATAATGGACTTTATTTTTTAGCATAAAGCTTTATCACCCTGTATATCCGTAACGAAGCTTTATAGGACAATCATTTATTTGACAAATTAGTGTTAATTTTCGATGTGGAATATGTGGTCGCAGTTTTTCGCAATATTAAGAAAACACCCTGTAGGATGCAAAAATGTCCAATGATGATAGAAAACTTTCAGCTAAGCATAAAAATGAATTCAGATCTTTGTTTCAAGCTTTTTTTTGAAAAAAAATAGACCTCTTAATTTTCATATTATCATGTAGACATCTTATTTTTTTATATCTGATGTTCTTAGATTAATTTATTGTTGAATTTGCTAGTTTGTTAAATGTTTTTTACACCATAAGGCACAAATTGGTAGTTTTTTTTCAATAGGTATTCTGTTCAGTCTTAAAAAATCTGCCGTTTCTGTTAACTAATTTCAAGAACGTCCAAAAACTTAATCCAAAATCCAATTTTTGAAAAACTATATCTCGTGAAAAAAGACTCAAACAATTTTTGTCATGAAAACTTTTAACCCAGTTGAATGTACATTACCACCACCCAAGAGATCGTCCGACACTTTTGAATCACCCTGTATGATGAAAAAAGTTATACAATATGGAATTTATGAGGTTCTACACTATGGTAGGTAGTCTACGAATATTGCATTAACACAGACACATCAAATGGTTCTTAAAAAATGTAATTATACAAAAAAATAAAAGTGTCGCTTGTCATAGTAAAACGATAACAAAAACCTCAATTTTTTGAAAAATTTATCAAAAATATCAAAATATAACCGTAACATTATACGGGTACATTATTTAAAATACTACTCAATTAAATGTAATCAATATCTATTAAGAAAATAGAATATTTTTTAAGTTAATTAATTTAATCGTTCGTATTACCACATTTTATGAACGGTGTTAGAAATTACTTGATGATTAAGAACCAATTTTTTAATTTAATCT